CACGAATCCCTACTATGCCACTGCGGATGGATTTTATGAATTGACTAGCAGTCCCACTCAACACCTCGGACAGGATGTCGAACTGGTCAAACCGAACTGCCGTGGACGCGGCTCCTATAGGCTCAAGACGAACAATGCCTATTACATAGTAAGTGGTGATTAATTGGAAAATTCAAGAAGCTAGATCCCGGGTCTTAGGCAGTAAAGTGGTGATAATTGATAAATACATCATGATAGTAGATAGGGATCAAAGTGACCTCATTTTAAATATGTTAAAAGCATATTTGACTGTTTTTTCTGCAGCTCGGCAACATTGATCCCGCTTTCTCGTTGCCTTCGATTGCGGGTGGTTTTTCCATTGGTGCATGGGTTAGTATACCGTCAACCCTCTTGGCCAACTCCATACCACATTCATTATTCGAGATCGCTGGTTTTATTCGGGTTGTTCTCTTTGGAGACTTCCTGCATGTATTTGGTAAGTGAAACCCCTCTCCCCCCACTCCACATCAGTTTATTTTATCTTTTTTTGCAAAAGACTGCGTTTTCATAAGCGGTAGTCACGTTGATGCAGATTCGTTTTCTTAAATTTGCGCTCATCACCCAGAGCCCAATCATATTATTTATTTATTTATTTCAAATGGCAGGCGTTTTGATAGCTATCATAAGCCCTTTAATTGACTTCGGGCTTCACAGAGGGAAGGTTCATCAAAGTAGCAGAAAGTCGAGGGGTGGGAAACAGAAGAGCGATTCACAGATGTAAAAGAGGCAGACAGACACAAAGGCAGAGAAAAGGGTAAAATGAGTACTGTGGAAGCGGTCGAATATGACAGGCAGTCGTGCCATGGTATTTTTAAGTCAGAAGTCAACTGCCGATTAATAGACTTTTTTGCCGTATGAGTATACGTTGCCCAGGGTGCACCATGTGGAGGTAAGTCTATCGCACACCCCCCAATCATATTAATGATTTGGATAAACTAGATTCTCTAAAACCGAAATGCAATGAAGTTTTATCTGCCCAAGCTCTCTACGCCTTGGATTTTCCTAGAGTGCAACTAGCTTGGACTCGAATGTAGACGGAAATGCATCTACCACAAGACGCTAGTAACTCACTTAAGATTGTGAATATGAGTACAAGTCGTCTTCCTATTGCTGCTAACCGAAGATCAAAACACCTTTAAGCTCCGATCATGTTAGAAGTGGGCTCACGACCTTGCTGGACCAAAAATACTTTGATGGTTGGGTGAGGGGCCGGGATGGGGCCGCACATATCTACACACAGAGTGGATCAACAGAGTGGAAGAACTTGGTCCGCGACGTGGATCATGCTGTGGTCATGCTGTCAAGATGTCACTTCCTTTCATTTCTGTTGCCTCTATGTTCCTTGGGAATAATTTCTGTTTTCTACACTTCTTATTGATTTTACACCCCTCAATATTATCCGCTTTATCCATATTGTTGTTTAATAATTATTGCCTTTTCTCTCCTAGTGGAAATAATAAACACAGAGGTCTGAAAGGTCACTTTACTTTCAACAAAATCGAGCACCTTAAATAAACGCTAGTCAAAGCATTCGTGAAGAATATTAAATAACTTTAGCTTTACTTAAATCATCTTTTGTGTTTTATTGCAGTTTTTGACGGTTGGAAGTGGAGAACCACTCGTATAGTAGAGGCAGTCGTTAGGGATGAACTCTTTAACCTCGGATTTTCAATCTCTGGTAACAGCTCACACAAAGCCCTCGGTTTCATCAATGGTGTCCAAGTTCAAACAATGGCTTTTGCTGCCCAGAGTTCAACCAATGAGCTGACTCATACTCCCATCTCAGGGGGGGATCTTATTCTTGGAAGTAAAGTTCAGGGCAAAAGTGCTGAGGGTGTTGAAATCGGAGATCTGGTCTATTGGATGCGCTATACTTCCGAGTATGAGGGCCATCGTTTTATTGGATACACCAGTAAGAATCTACTTTTATCTCTTTAGTTGCATGAGCTGTTAAATGTCTATTCAGCATTGATTATCGGCTATATTAGGGTCTCAAGTCAAAATTCTTGCTGAGTCGGATACCCATTGGTCGACTGATGCCTTTATGTTCTACGATGCTCCATGTCGGATAGCCTATGAGAGAAAACGTCATGGAATAACCGATGTAGATGCTGCAGTTCCGGGTTTCAAACTTGCCTCGCTTTACAAACCCATTGGAATGCAACCAGTTCGATACATATTAGATCAGGAAGAGAAAAGTATTGCTCCAACACTCTCTATGCGAAAAATTGACTACTTCATGCTAGGTAAGACTTTCCCAACTCCCAGAACTAAATAAAATTATTTAGTATGCTGCAAAAAAGGCACCTATTAGTACCAGATTAAAAAGGCTAAAACATTGGAGTGGAATTTCGGATCTAAATTCCTCTTATAGTTGACTTGTTAGAACTTGTGTTGCGATCTTTTTGAAGCTGGGTTCCAGCTTTGAAGTCACAAAATAGTGAATAAAACTTAACTAACTACTATTCTTCAGAAAGTTTTATGGTAATTAGTATAAGATATGACCAGAAACAGCGCTTATTGGTCATTGAAATGAAAAGAATATAGAATATTATAAATCTGATTGGGTTTGGTGTGATTACGTTCAAATAGACCGGTACCTTGACGAAGGGAGAAATAGCCATTTGAGGGTAGAAAATTGAGTCAAAATGATAATTAAGACGAGATTAACCGTAAGGCTATAATCATTTATTTATTTCACATGGCAGGCATTTTGATAGTTATCATTAGCCCTTTTAGTTGACTTCGGGCTTCACAGAAGGGAGGAACATTAAAGTGAGAAAAATTCGACAGGGGGAAAGAAGAGCGATTCACAGATGTAACAGACAGACACAAAGGCAGAGAAAAGGCTAGATGAATACTGTGAAAGGGGTCGAATATGACATACATTGGGGTTATGGAAGTTTGAAGTCAGAGGTCAACTGCCAGTTAATAGACTTTTTTTGCCGTATGAGTAAACTTTGCCCAGGGTGCACCACATGGAGGTAAATCTATCGCACACCCCAGGTAATAATCATAAAAGGGCAAGCGAAATCGATACATTTTCCGTTC